CAACCAATCTACATGGGTAGGAGCTAGATGTGATTAACTCTTGATATGCTTTTAAGAAACTATTTGTTGAACTCCTACCATCAATGACTAATTTGCATCTCTTTTCATTGCAAGTTGCATTCTTTAGAAGATTGCTATAATGTTTTCAATCCTCCTGAGTGGTTGGAGATGTACAAATGCATTTTATAGCTTGCAATTGTGCTTAGCTATCATAAAATTCTAAAAATCCCCATTAATTGGAGGCTCATCATCAATAACATCCCCAAAGAACTTTTTTCCCTTTGGAATTAATTACCTTAATCCATAAAAAATTAATTTGAGGTAAAAATTGAAGCAAATGATATACCCTTATGGAGAAACTTGAAGCAAATGATTATCGAAGGACTAATCAGTTTATTGTGCACATTCTCCTGCTGTGTAGCCTAAGATTTAGAAACATAACCTTGCCATTTGATATTTTTAGAGTAATAGTTGGTATAATATGGGGCCTAGAGTTTCCAAATTGAATTGAAGTGATTCATGATCTATGATGTTGAGATGAAAAAGTGTGTGATGAAAGCTTATATATATATATATATATATATATTTCAAAGGCTTATGATAGAGATCCTTTACATTATCTGGACTAGAGAAATGCATTTTTAACCTTATGTCATGGTGAACAACATTGATAATATTGGTAGTCATTTGCTAATCTTCTCGAAAAATCTCTCACTTTGATGTATATAATTAATATACATAATTTAGGTCATCTAGATTGATTTGAGCCATAGTTTTCTTGAAATAGGATTGAAAAGCTTGAACCATATTTTCTCTTGAATTAGTTCAAATTAGTTTTGCTCTGAGTTTGGTCAAAGCCTATAATTGATCCAATTTGAGAGATGTACTCCAATATTGAAGCTAAATACTCAGCTACATTTCCATTAGTTTTAGAAGAGAGAATTTCCAAGGACTTAAAAAATCCAAAACGAAATAATACGTTTGATGTTCATGGTGAATAAGTGGTTACTAGAGGTTAATTGGTGGATTATTATACCTCCTCAAAGCTTCAGTTATGTGTGCCTTGTCATACTACAGTCCCAATCAATTTTCATCATGATTCTTAACTTTTTTTGGTTGATATTGTGTGAATTTGATACCTACTTCAAAATTGGAATAATCTTTTGGCATATGCTAATTCACATAGAAAGTTATAAGGTGTGCTCGCTGCTTCAGAGCGCAAAGCACTGCATTCACTAAAGTGAACTGCAATCTTGAAAATTCTTCCTAACTTCTGCATGAGGGGATTAGTATATCTCATAAAGCAGGAGGTTGAGAGCTATGATCTACATCAAACTAAGTGCAGACACTTTCACACTTTGTAATACTCAAATATGTCAAAAAGATGGGATGAGATTTTTTTCTAAAAATTATACCTCATTTTTTATACACCAAAAAATCATCAACATTATTTTTATAATATTTTATATTTCTGTGTGTGTGTATAAAATTAATTTATTAGCAATTTTAAATTAATTTATCATTTAAATTTATTTGCCTAAAGTATAAAATAATACAATTCACCTTATTAATGCACTATAGCAAAATGAGAACTTTCAAAATTTTGTGCTGTGCGAGGGGAAATCGATGATTATGAGAATAACTTATAGGATAGTTTAATTGTATAATTGATCAATTAGATTACGAATAACCTGATCCTATAGTATCCGTCTCATCCTTATCCCATCTCGTAGCAGTAGTTGGAGGCTTGGGAGCTAGATCCGGGCATTATAAGGGTTACTTGGTATAGAGAAGTAAAATATGAATAAGAAGGAAAATAAGAAGAGGGGCTATCGGTGTAGAAAAATAGAGAAGGAGCGGTTGCTTGGCACATTAAACTGGATAATGAAAATAGATAAAAGAAGGAAAGTCTGAAATGAAGGAAAAAGAAAGAAAGAAGAAGGGAAGAAAGAAAGTATAAGAAATGAGAATGAAAAGAAAAAGAAGAAGAAGAAAAGTGAGAGGAAGAAAAGGAGAAAGATGATAAATCGTGATTTTCGGCAAGAATCCTATTTTAGTATTTTCATATGTAAATTAAGTTTGGATTTGAGTTTATAGGATTGAAGGCTTGAATGAGGGTGAATAAGGTAAAATTATTATTTTATGTCAATTGATTTAGCTTTGATGTGAGAAATAAAAAATTTATCTTAAATTGAGAAATTATGATTTTTAGGTTGTCTATGAAAATTAAGATGTGGAGGTGATAGAAATTTGTAAATTTGTCTTGACGAAGATTCTATAATTAATGTGAGATAATCTCTAGTATAAGTAGCATATTACTTTTAGGTCTAATCTTTGGTAATTTTCATAATTCCATTGAGCTGCTATGTGCATGTAAGTAGATTTTTTTCCATATTGAGTAGGGCATCATTATATTAACTAGTCTAATGTTTTTTATGGAATTACCTTTTTTAAATGAGTCAAAGATATTTTAATTTACTCAATTCAACCAATTATTTAATAGAAAATGATTTTTATTTAAGTACATAGAAGTTGATAGTTGTATACAATGTTACTTTTGATTCATCATTCATGTTAAACAAATTAGTTTATAACATATTAAAAAAAAAAGTTTATAACAGATGAATATCATTGTTAATCAATTTTAAATATCAATGATGATAATATTAAATTTAAGAAGCAAATACAAATATCATATTATGTGATATTAGTAGGTAGACTATGATGACCTATGCAGAGGGGCAAAAGTTTTGACGAGATAAGTCTCATTAAAGAAATAATAAAGAATTTTCAACTCTTAATAATGAAAAGTTGGAATGGCCCAACCTTTATCCCGACAATTGATATTGGAAAATTGGATTGGTCTGTGACCTATATCAAGGGGCCGTGATGAATTCAATGTTGGATTTTATCAATGATTATTGTGACTAATGAGCTAGGTGATAACTTGATGATATAAAGGTATCAAAACCTATATAAGCAATATATTTCATTTCAAGAAAATTAATGAGTAATAATGAAAATGAAAAATAAAAGTATCAAGGAACTTCATAATTGAAAAGTAGTGGACATCTCATGATTGAACATTTGATAAATGTACTTCATGTTCTTACAGGCGCTCATGTTGCTTGCTTAAAATTATGTCTTTTACTTATTTAAATATCAAAGCAAGTTTTCTTTCAACTTTATTACTGACATAAATTAGCTATATCTGCAATAAAAAAAGCTCATGCTAGTTCAAAAGATCAACATACATATTATTACTTCACTCTTGTATGTTTGAATCTCATATTAGAATTGTTTTAACTCGTTGAACATTTAGCTCATCAGATATTATGATGATTAGTTTTCAAAGAAGGGGAAAGAGTGGGTGGGATCATAGGTAGATGACCCAACTTATTCTTTACCCTAATATTATAGATGGATGTATAGTTTTGTGATGTAATATAGAAAAGAATGTACATTATGTAAATTAAAGGCTTTTGGTTTGTATAAGTTTTTTTATGAAAGTATTGGAAGCTCTATAACTTATTTTTTGATAAGAAGTGGATGTTTTTTCATAAAAATCAGCGGTTGAAACACGAAAAATTGGGAAGAACGCCCAAAAATAAATTTTTATTGAAAGATAAAGAGAAATGCAAGATACAATTGGATCTTCAATTGGAGAGGAAGATCCGGCTCTTCCAAATCCCTAGCCACCGGCTAGAGCCAAATAACTTAAGAATAAAATAAATTCAGCAAACTCCAAAATATAATCTTGAAATCACTCTATTTTTGGCCTTAAATAGGCTCCCATAATTCTTTCCCAAATCAGCCTCCTTTCCTTAAAAAATTCCCTTTCATATTTGAATTCAAATTAGATTTATTTCTCTAATTAATTCCATCCCAATTTTAATTAAAACATTCCTAAACAATCCCCCCTTAATTCCTCCTCCTGTACCCCAAATAATTCCCTCTTAAATTTTGAATTCAAATTAGATCTCTTGCCCTAAATAATTCCCTCGCAATTGTAATTTAAACATTCATGAATAATTCCTCTTTGATTATGAACCTTCCTAAATAGCGCACTCTTGATTAGGAAACTTTCTAATTCGCTCTCAATCAAATCGGCCGGTCCATCATTTTGTTGATAAATTATGCACATTTTCATATCATTTAGTATGATGAATCTATTAAATGATGAGATACATTTTTCCAATGATCTAGTCATATTATTTTTCATTAACTTGATTCTGATTAGTAGAGTCAGGATGGGTGTTGGTGGAAAACACGTCTACCTAGATGGTCCGCTTTTGTTGTGCCTAATGGTTGACTGGAGAGAAGTCAAAATGGGGCGTGACACACTTCAGTAGCGGCTGTTTCCCTATTTTCCTTTCATTGTCATGTTTTGTTATAGATGTACAATTTAAGTGATGAGTAAGCCAGCAAGGGCAAAATTTATTGTTTTCAAAGTCAAATGGCATTTTTGGCTGATTGATTTTTCAGATTACCCCAATTTGTTTGGGTAAAAAAGTTGGATTAAATTTGGAATCCCTGCACCAATATAGCTCGTTATGCAGACAAATCTTTGAAAAAAAAAAGATAATCATGCTTTTTTTTTTTTGTGTGGTTACATTGAACTTAACTACTACCTCGCACTTAAAAAAAGTAACGTGCTTAATAGAGAAATGATGCGTATGCCTTTAGCATCTTTTAGTTCATTAATTGCAGAGAGAGCATTCTATTATGGGATTCAAATGATTCACCCAATATGGAAATTTGAAACAATAATTATCGCTCTTGATTTTACTTCCAATACCCAAATTTTCCCTGCCGGGGTGCTCTTAATTGGTTCTGGACTTTAACATCATTATTTGTTATGTAGAAGGAATAAATAACAACTACTCTGAATTTTTCTTAACCTAAGAATACTTTTTATTTTAAAATTTTGAGGGTACTATATGTCTGCATATCCCAAGTTAGAGCATCTGAGAATTTACTTGTCCTTTGTTCTGTGCAAGTGACTGAAGCAACAAATGCGGACTTCTCACCAGAAACAAGCGGCACATTTTCAGCTGATACATCTGAACAAGATCCTCACAATATATCATTAACCGCAGCGATGAATGAAGAGCATCAAGAACAAAGTAATACTGGATTGATACAACCTGGAGCTGATGCCATATCTGTGTTTCCCAAGTTTGTGAAGAGTTTTACTGATACACCCAAAACACTTCTTGATAACGTGCCAGAGCCTCCTTATACAAGCTTGAGGAAAAGAGTAATGAATGAAGAGCATCCAGAAGAGATTCGAAGTAACTTTAATCAAGAGGATGGGTTGTACAGTTTGTCTGTGCGACAGTTCATGTCTTCTAGGTTTCCAAAGTCTGTTCAGAATTTTGTTCATGCACTCAAGAAGAATAGGTCATGCCAACGATTTATCAGGGAGAAGATGATGGAAATTGAAGCCAAGATTGAAGTAAATAGAAAGCTGAAAGAACGCATCAAATGCCTTATGGACTTTCATACAGCATGTAAACGAAAAGTGGGGCGTAGTTTATGTCAGAAAAGGGATCCTCGTATCAGGTTGATTTCTTTTCGACAACAGAAATCATCAAGTACAGTTAAGGTTGAAATCCTTATCTCCATGTTATGCAATTATAGCCTTATGATTTTGATTCTAGATAGGAAATTGCCATGCTAGGCGTGCATAACGTTTAAGTTGCTACTGTCCATATGGTAATTTTTTAAAGTTGATTTAAACATGACTGCATGACTAATGCTTGCAGTAATCTTGTGCAACAATGTTGACACCTAAATAAACTTAGCAGACGCATTGCACATATACTTTTCCCTACTTTATGACTTTATGTACACTCTTGCTTCTTGGAATTAAACTTTGAAATTTATATGCATGTTTTAATATATCTATGAAGACAATTACCATGTAACATCTAAAGATGATTTCTTTCTCATTTAATGTTTTTAGATTTTCAATCCATCGAGTGGTTGTGAATTTGAGGAATTTGTTCCTATGTGTTCAAATGCATCCTTAGTTGTAAGAACTGTCCGGCCTTTCAATTTACAAGAACTTAACCCTAACAAGGGTAAGATTATTTTTAGACTTATCTAATTTGATCATCACATTGGAATAAATTAATTCAATGTGTTGAATATACCTATTTGGAGCTAAATATTTATTTTGATTGAGTTGAGTATTTAACTCAGAGGTGCTATTTGGTTGCAAGTATTTAAATTCAATTTAAAGTAAATACAATGTATTAGAAATTTAGGAGACCATTTTCTTATGTTTGGTTGAATATAAAAAAGAAAATAAAATTAAAAACATAAAGAGAAAAGAATCAAAATGGTCCCTCAACTCTTTGGAAGGGATCAAAATAGTCTCCAACTCTTTGGATGGACCAATTTGATCTCTCAAATTTTTAAAATGAGGCATTTTTTGTTCTAAAAATTTCATTTAATAAATATTTAATTAAAAAATGACCAATATACCGTTACATTTAATATCATTAACTCCAACCTTAGATGTTAGGACAAAAAATGTCTCATTTTAAAGAGTTGAGGGACCAAATTGGAGGATGTTTAATGTTTATATTTTTGATATAAAAGGGCATAATTACCACATGAAGCTCCTTCCAATATATGGTTTTAGCTCTGATATGCTTACTATTTTTCATTATTTTATTTGATCTTGCAAGTGGTTTGAAATCCATATCTATTGATGAATGACAGACTCCAATATATTTTTTTCTGTGGCTTTATAACTTCATTTTGCTGGGCGAACTATCAGGACATATGAACTTACTGGTACTCCCCTTACTATTAGTTTTTTTATAAGCAAAAGTTGATTGATAGTTAAGTTAATATTGATGTTTTAATCTGATCAGTCATTGAATTATATCACTGCTGCTGTTTCCATGTAATCTTCCTATGCATGCTGTTGTGAACCAGTTTTATATGATTTGATGTTCAATCTGGGATTGCATCATGTGACAAGATGTTTTGGCGTAATGCAGGAAAATTCTAAAAAGAGTTCCGCCTTGTATTTTGCTCCAGCCGAAAACGCTCAAATGTCCAATTATAAGATGGTAATGGGGAGATTCCCAGTTTCACTTAGAAAGAGACAATGGTCAAACGCGGAGAAGGACAAATTATTTGATGGAGTAAAGCAACAATGCCAAGAAATGCTGTTTTTGAACTCAATGAACATTGGAAGGTGATATGACATTCTTAAGTTAGAAAATGTTGGAATTATAAATGTAAATCTACTTTGTGTTTCAAAATGGTGAAAGTCAATAATTCTTGCAAAATTAAGATTTATCTGGTATTTTTATGTAAATACTAACGGTCATTGATTGCAATTGAAATATTTTTCATCCTAACTTTTTTTTTAATGAATATTTGCAGTGATTTTGATGGTTTGAATGATTCCATTATAACATCTACTTTTGATTGTGCCCGTCATCTGTTGACACCAGAGATTTTAAGATCTTTCATTCGTTTGGTTAACTGGGATCGGTTAGCTTCTATGTATCTTCCTAGGCGTTCAGGTTCTTCATGTGAATCAAGGTATGACTTTGTTTGAGAACCTTGATGTATTTTGTATCTAATAGTGATGATTCTTTTTTAGACATGAGAGTTTTAGTTAACAGCATGGGTTGAGCTTGTGCCTGAAGGCTTCAGCACCCCAATCCCAACAACTAAACGCATGCTCCAAAAAAAAAAAAAAAATCTGAGTTATTTGTTTTGTTACTTATTAAATGTTTGGCTCTCAATTGTTTTTCAACTGGGTCATTTGTACATTCTTTCTGTGCTACTCTCCTGCACACTCCAACCGAAAACCATCTTTAAAACTAGCACAATCACATAATCGGAACAAGGAGCGATCAAAGAAATCCAGTAAAGCTTAAGTTTGAAAAAATAAAAATAAATAAATAAAGGAATGAAGCTTCCAATTTCCTTTTTTTATTTATATGAAGGTTCAATTTATAAGAATTGACCGTACTTTAAAAAAATTTCCTGTATGCTGATTTTGTCCATGAACAGATAATTTTCAACAAGTGTGAACGTTAATTTTTTTTAAACAGACCACTTTTGATGTCAGAATGACTTTTAATATTTTGCTCTAGAAGTTTGACGCTCTCAACTAGTTCAGCAAAATCTTTAATGTACAAAGGAATTGGTGATACATGTCACAACTTTTATAAACATTAAACCAATAAATAGCATTAGTAGAATTTATAAACATTTACAAATATGCCAATGCTAGACCTGAATTTTGAATATCATACACGCCTTTAGTGATATGTCGCAACTTTTATGATTGTACTATTGAACCAACATTAAGCAAGTATTAATTGAGCATTTTGTTTTGATTTAGGTGATATTATTTTTATCTAGGAAGGAATTTATTTATTTTATATTTTCTTGCCTTCCATATTTATATGGGGGGGGGGGGTGTTAATTGGTTGTGTGACAAAGATGGATGAATTTAGTTTCTCCCCCATGCATGTCTTCATTGATGAATCTAGTTTCTTATTGAAGTGAGAACATTATAAGATAATAAAACAACAACAACAACAACAACAACAACAACATCAAGCCTTTATCCCACTACGTGGGGTCGGCTACATGAATCCTTTTTCTCCATTGTGTCCTATTAAAAGTCAAATTCTCGTTTAAAATTATAAGATAATAAAACAATTCAAGAAAATCAAATGATTCTCTTATCATTCAAAAACAAAATAATAGTTTGAGTATCACATAAAATATAGGACAAATGCATGTCGTTATAATTTCTTCATACAACTCTTTGTGTTTCGAAAATGTTGTACAATCATTTTATTATCAACATTATTAAATGAATTTCTTTTTCAATGGATGAAATTAGACATAACTTCATCAAATTGCCTCCATAAGATTATTCAAACGACTCTTTATGTCAAGACCCGGCCTGGTGAGCTCGCGTAGACGAGGCGGAAACGGAATCAGACGTTTAGAACATAAACCTTTCTTCTTACAATATGCATTGAATTTATCTAAAAAACTTCACAAGAAATTAAAAGCGCCTCTAAAATTTTCATAAGTATACATTAAACACTTCATGTCATTTCAAAAGAGAATTCACTTACACAAAGGTGGTTACAAAACTTAACATGCATGACAAAACCACCCAAAAAGGAATAAACTATAATTAAGAAAAACATCAAAAGAACTGTCAGCCGGTACTCGACGACTGTAGGTGAACCATGGGTGGTCAGCCATTCTTTGGAGTAGGGGTGTCAATTCGGTTTCACGGGTTGGGTTCGGGTCGAACCCGACTTGACCCGGGTTTAAACGGGTCGACCCGAACCTGACCCGTTTAGCTAAACGGGTTCAAAATCAGAACAAACCCGACCCGCCAGAAAATTTTTTCCAATTTTTTTTTTCTTTTTTACTTGAGCAAATTATTGAATTTTTGGATATAAGAGAAACAATAAAATTTTAAATGTATTCACAATTTATTACAATACAACTTACAAATTTCAAGTTAAAAAATATATTACTATTAATATTTTACAAGTATACAACTTAACTAAACATATAAACAAATAAAAGTCTAAAATAAGTATAAACATTAAACTATAAAGCTTAATTGTTCCCTACATCTCTAATCTCTTGCACTCTTTCTGAGTTTCTGTCTTTCAGTCCCATGGCTGTCGCCTTTCGGCTGATATCTCATCAAGTCATCATTCACCAATCACCATTTCACCTATAAATATTAAAGAACCTGCAATGTTGCAAATGAAAGAAAAAACAAATAAAAGCAATAGTTCATTGATTGCTACTTGCTAGTTAGCAGTTGCTAGCAACCAAACTACCAAAGGCCAAAGCCTTAGGCTCATTGGCTCAGGGTGAACCTAGTAAAGAAACATCATCGGAAACAAGTCCAAAAATTGTGCCCTCCAAAGTTACAACTTGGTAATATGACTTTAAGGCTTTTATCAATTTAATTTAATAGTATCTGCTCAACTGCTGAAGCCATCAAAATCATTTATACCAATTTATAAATTGGTTGCATCTAAATGTGTGTTGCATCTAAATCACTTTACCAAGTTCTTCATCACAGTCATTAAATATTTAAAATCAACCAAACCAACAATAGCAATGCAGCAGAACAACAAGTCTACAACAGAAAAGTCCAACAGAAGCAGCAATTTTACAAGTTTACAACACTTGCTCATTAGCAGAATGACAACAACCTAATTAATCATTTAGCCCAACTGTCCAAGAACTCTCAGTAGAAGAATTATAATACTTCAGTAAAATGGCGCATAACTACATAAGCACTTCAATGATTCAATCTAAACTCAAAGGCCAAATAGCAGAATGATAACAACTCGACAACAGCAGAATTGTATGATGCAACAAGCCAAATGTCCAACAATGCAACACCAACACCAACACCAACACCAACACCAACACCAAAACAACCAGTCCCACACGGCCACACCAATGACACCAGCATAAATGCAGAATTACAGCTTGCATCAAGCTGTACAAGCCAAATTGATGTGATACAATCCATGCGAAAATGACTTGCTTAAGGAAGTTTGCACTTGTAAATTTTAGAGAGCAATGTTAAGCAAAATCCTCTATTGATGTAAACGATAAGATAACATTAAGGTGATAAAATAGCTTAGGTCTAAACACATGCGAGAGGATGAGATCATTAAATAGTCAACTACGTCTTACTTTGCCTACATGAGTGGTTTCAACGAGAAATTCCAATTCTAACAATAAGATTAGGCACGATGCAAGAATCCCTCACTCAACTCTCTAGTTCTCGAAGCTTTAGCGGTGAAGAGCTTGACATGAGCTTTGTGAATCCAAATATAACCACACTTGAAGGGTGAATTAGAAAGATATAAGCGTAGGAAGAAAAGTTTACCAAGGGAAGACAAATGCGGAGCTCCGACGTGGTCGTTTGAGTGTTTGGGGAGGGATGGATGGCACCACGAATTTTTTTCTGGCCGTTTGGGACAGCACTTTGACAACCCTTGGGTAGTAGACGGCACTCAGGACTTCACCAATCAGCTGGACCGAAAAACAGGGTTGCAAAACTCTCTGGGACGATGCGTGAAATGCTGGTCAGCAGACAAGAGCAAAACCTGGCAGCACTATGGCTGGTTGGAGCTCTTCCCGGACAGCAGTTTCTACTTGGAAAATTGCTGGACAGCAGTTTACTGCAGGTTTTAGGAGTAAGGTTTTGAATTTTGAATCCCCAACTCATGTGATCAATGCCATAAAGTGGCATTTAATGGAATTAATCCCTTCCCGGACAGCAATTTCTACTTGGAAAATTGCTGGACAGCAATTTACTGCAGGTTTTAGGATTTAGGTTTTGAAATTTGAATCCCAAACTCATGTGATCAATGCCATAAAGTGGCATTTAATGGAATTAATCCCAAGCAAGGCCGGAGGGTTAGAGAGGGGAGAGGAGGGAATTAATTCACAATCCTGAAATAAATTTCAGAATTTTAAATTTTAGGAGAGAAAAATTATTTGAAATTAATTTCAATTTCAAATAGGATGGGGCATTAAAGGAGCAATCAATGGGGGAAATCCCTCATGGGGGTCGGCGGCATGGCGAGAGGGGAGAGGGAGATTAGGGAGGGATTAGGCGCTTTCCAATTGAGTCGATGCCACCTAGGATGAAAATTAATAATTCCATATGTCATGAAATTTGGATTGGATCAATTCGAAAACTTTCCTTTTTAGGAATTTTGCAAATATGGAAAGTTTGAATTTCAAATTTGAAATTCAAAAATCGGTAACTCCTTTATTTATTGCTAGGCCACAATCAAGGAGCCATTATGATGATTGACATCTTCATCATGGCTTGGAGCAAGGTGGTGGCCGGCGGCCAAAGGAGTAAGAGGGGCTTGCCATCGGGTTTGGGGATTTCTTGATGGAGCTTGGGTTATGGTGGAGGAAGCTAATGAGTAACGTGGTGGATGATGGGATCTCGGGTAGGGCTTGGCGTGGGGAGGAGGAAAATGTGATTTGGAGAAGAAAACAATAAGATAAAAATAAACCACTAGTCGAGGATGCTTCTGACGACTGGCGGGTATTGCTTTTGCCCTCACCTTGGGCTTTTCTTAGAACTCACACAGAGATCTAAAAGAATTGAACTCACCAAGAGATCAAGAAACTATGAACTCACAAAGAGAAGAATTTCATAATAATCATCATCCTTTTCCAAGAGGAAGGGGAAGGCTTAAATAGCCAAATACATGAAGGAAAGAAAAAAAGACACAATTGCCCCTAGGGCCACATAAGACAAATCACTCAAGTGAGGGTAAAAAGGGAAAAGTACAAATAACAAATAAAATACATCAAGATAAGTAAACACGATCGTAGCCGTTGATCTTCGATGTCCTCATCACAAATAATAAGAAAAAATGGGATTTACAGAACTTCACCAGCATTAAAGTAGCCATAAGTAAGCAGTAAACTAAGTAAACCAACACCAGTCCACCATATGAATCAATTAAGATTTAACAACAAACCAGCAACAACACAAATCA